TACAAGAAAAGAAAATAGCAAGAACAGAAGGCAAACATAACGTGGAAATATTATAACGAGTGCAAATAAAACACACTGGCGGCGGCGGAAAAATGCGGGCAAAGGGGGTGGGTGGTGGATGGTGGGTAGGGTGCCACCCCCCTCGCTTTTCCAGGATGTCTGCAATCGTTTGGTGGCACGCATGCATGCCTAAAGGAAATGCCATCAAATATGCCAAACATGTTTGCAGCCAAAAAGGGAGTGTGTGTTTCGGTTACGCGAAGCCCCGGCGCCCTTTAATGTTTATTGTGCAAATAAATTTGTCCTTGAATTGCCCAAAAAACGGCTTCAGCACACATGTACAGTACTCTCACGCTAATTAGTATTTACAATCAAAGGAGAAAACCATAATAAAAACAAAGAGCCATAAAGGAAAATATCAAATAATCATTTAGGGTCACTTTGCAAAATTCAAATAAACATTTTTTTCTTCAATTTGCATTAAAAAAAACTGCATTACTCGGAATTACATTTTTTTTTATTGAAATCATTACTTTTACGTTTGGTGATTTGAAAACGTTGCCAAAGCCACCTAAAAGTATGCAATATTTTTTGGTAAGCCTTAAAATTGAATTAAAGAAATAGAAACCCTGCTTTCTCACCTTTTATTACAAAATTTGCAAATGAATTCATAAGTTTTATGTAAATTTAATTGTGTTTTTAAGTTTTTCCCTGGCATCTCTCTCACCTTTTTAATTTTAAATAAATGCCATCATATTGTCTTTTATATTTTGCACCAAAAAAAAAGCAAAAGAAAAACGTTTTTACTGATTTTTCCGCAATGCCATTAACAGACATTCTTCGATGCCATCTAGTCCAAAAAAATTTTCCCCCCCTTAAAGATTTTCCAGCGACATTTCCTTTGATCTCTCTCTCACTCGCTTGCTTCCTTTTTTTTCGAGTGGCTTTATGTAAATTTAGGCTGCTCTCTCGATAAGCGATAGATGCTATTTTTGGACACAGGTGCTTGAGCACGCCTCAGTCTCGCTGAAGAGGAGGACCAAAAGGGGGCGTGGCACACAGAAAGAAAGAGAGAGAGAGAGAGAGAGAGGGCTCTGGACAATATTTGCCCCACTATTTTGCAGCTATAATTCACAAAACTAACTTTCCTGGTAAGGGAGGATTACATAAATCAACATTTTGCTGCTGGCCGAAAAAGCGCCGAAAAACTTTCGAGCAAACAAATATTAATTTTAACTTTTTGCGCGGCCAAAAAGCAATAACAACAACAAAAACAACAACAAAAGGAAGTCCAGCGAAACGAAGAAATAAAATATAACAAAAAAAATAAACAAAAGAATTAAATAAAATACAAAGAGAGCTGAGAGAGAGACCAATAAAAAAGCATTCAAGACTTAAAGCTTTAAGCGACAATGCAGAATTTATATATATATTTAAATGTTACACTGAAAACAAAGACAGAAAAATGTCTACTAAAACTTTTATATAAATTTATATATTTATTACTGTTTTATAATATTATTATAATATTTTTTTTTAAAGCTTTTTAAAGGCACCCAATTTTAAATTAAAATATTTAAACAACCCTTTTTTAAATTATTTTATTTATTTTTATATATAAATATTATTTTAAAAATTTTATAATTATTAAATATTCTTTTATTTATATTTAAACTTCAAAAAAAATTTAAAAACAAAAGAAACTAATATATTAGGGACCTTAAAGGACCCCCTTTTCTGTGCGTGCTGTTGCCTTTTGTTAATTTGCCCCGTTTGCCCATTTGAATGTGCAGTTTTTAATTGTTTTTCAACAATATTTTCTGGCCAGGCGCAATGTGAATTAATTGCGCGCGACTCCGCAAGGAAAATGCGAATGTCCAGTGGTGCTAGAGAACCCATACCACCCACACACACACACCCATGCCCATGGCCAAGCCCATGAGTTTTCCCAGGCCCATCATCATATCTGGCCGTCTCTTTCCTGCCACTTTCCCCGAGAGCCTAGCGATAATTCTTAACCGCTTGTTTATTTATGCGGCGCCGGAAAAGCAACACACACAGCCTGGGAAAATGGGAAAATGAGTGCAGGCGGGGGAGGTTCAAAGAGGTAGAAAGATAATGTGCTCACACATGTGTGTGTGTGTGTGCAGCATGCATTTAAAATAAAATAAATATAAATTAAGCATAGCCCAGAGTCCCAAAGGAAAGAAGGGTCTGCAATGGATCACCTCTGGCAGCCGAAGGACTCTCCCTCTCTCTCTCTTTGCTCAATTGGAAAATAAATATTTCATATCGCTCAATTTACCAGGTTTTCTATTCATTGCAAACAATTAATCTAGAATTTTATAAACACATCAGAAAAAATAATGTATAAATATATGTAATGAATGGGTAATCCATTATTGGTGGCTAAATAAACGTTAGCAATTTAAGCCATTAAGCAATGACAAAACAATTAACAAAATGAATGAAAAAGTTGATATACAATGCACTGTAAAATATAAATATTATTTGAAAATTATATAAATAAGATATAGGATTTATATTCCCCCTTAATTTCTCTCTGTATTAACATTAACATTATTAAAATTAAAACTACACATTTGTATAATTAACTGTGGCATTTCCTGTTTTTTTTTTTTTTTTTAGATCAATAATATTTATTAGCTTAATGAAAAACTAATGCTTTTTATGAGAGAAACAAAAAAAGAGGGCATTTGCTAGTTAAACCATAACTATCTTTGGCCTGGAGTTTTCCCCACCGCAAAGCTTTTCATTATTATTCACAGTTTTATTTTTTATTTTCATTTTTTTGTGCGGCGCTTTTCTTTATTGCTGGGGATAGTTGGCGGCGCCATTTTGTTGGCTTGCATTAATTGCAATGCAAAAAGGCAACGTCGCATAAATTTCTCATATTTAATTTCGCCTGAGCTGCAGATGGAACCGCGGGCCGCGGCCTTCTCGAGTCCTCACTCCCTCACCACCCACCCCCTCCCAGCCAGCTCTGGCCGGGGGCCAGTTTAATGCACTCTGTTGCATGCGGCACCCACACACACACCCATCTCTAGTGTGTGTGAGGGTGTGAGAGGATTCGTTTACATTAAATTATTTATGCACTCAACTGTGTGTGTGTGCGGCACTTGCTGCGGCTTGACAGAAAGATAAAGCCACCAAAAAAGGTCTATATAGTTAAGGGATACCCTGTAAATTAATTCTAATTAATAGAAAATTTTATAAAAATATATTTTATTGGGGTAAAGGTAAATTTTATAGTTGGAAGATACCCTGTAAATTATTTATATTTCATAGAAAATGTTATATAAATATATTTGCTAAGTAAAAGGGAATAATTTACTAGGGAAAAGAGTAGAAAATAATACAAAGGTTTTTAAGGAGTCTAAAAGTATGCAATGATATATTTTAAAAAGATTTTAATGCCCTAGCAAGATTCTTTGGCAACTCTTGATAAAATATATTCTTCTTCTTTAAAAAATATATGAAACTCTAGTTTTTATAAAACAAAACTATCCCAAAAAAAACCCAACACAGGGTATAAAAAAAAACCGAGGCTGATCACAGCTGCCACTGTAGTAAGGATCTCCGTGAAGCCCCTTCTGCCAAGCCCCTTGAAAAAGCCATCCTTGGGCGCCACTTTAATCTGCAGCCAAATGTTGACCACATAAAATTGCAGAACAAATGTGCGGACATTGGCCATTAAGCTGCGAGCGCTCAACTTGAACTTGGCCAAAGGACCAAGGACTAAGCAGGCGGCATCCTTGACTTTAGACCCAATCCTGCCAACTCAACGGCAACTGACTGTCGTCCAATAAAATGTCAAAGAAAATGGCCAGAAAGGCTTTTAATTGTAATGGGAATGGGAATGGGAATTGGAATGGGGGAAAATGTTGAAACTTCTTCCTAGACTAAGCTTTTGTAGGACCTCCTAACAAAGGGTTTCATGAGCGTTTAATTGTCGGTAATTAGCTAGATGAACAATGGCCAACTTTTAGTCGCCATGGAGGAGTAAGTTTCAAAGGCAGAGAGGAAAAAGAGCAGATGGCAACCCGGCTTTTTATAGTATATATATATATACTTATAGTGAGTAAGGAATTAAGGAGTGGGTGCAAATTGCAATTTTTATTTGTTTGTTCAACCAATTTAAAGCATCTCCATTAACCGCAATCATTAAAAAATAACCAAGTAAACATAAAACCCTACTTGTTAAGAGCCAACCATTATAATTTACATAGGCCTTAATGGCAAATAAAATGTAGTTTTATGTAAATGGCCACTCACTATAAATTTCAATTAAGGCCAGTAGAAATTTTTAATTGGGCGCATTTACATCAGTTTTGTGACAAGTTTTACAGCACTTGAAACTCGGTGAAATATATATTTAATTCCCTTTATTGACTTTTCCTGTTTAAAAAATTGCCCATTTCTAAATAAACTCCTCTAATGAGCATTACCATGAAATATTTATATTAAATTCCAAACTCAACTAATTTTCAATTAAATGCATTCCAATGACAATATAAAATATCTACGATATTCGATTGAATTTCACTTGGAATTTCGCTGGAATAATTTCATTTAATTGAGACACACACAGACACAGACACAGACACACTTGCGGATTTTTGTGCATAATGAGCGGAGGCGAAAATTACAAAGGTCGTCCCTCTGTCCAGCCCGTCCTTTGCTCACAAAGGCACTGGCACTGGCACTACTGGCAAAGGCAATTAAAATTAATTTAAATTTACTCGCCTGTGCAAATGAGTCACTCGGAAAAAGGCGAGCTGCGATAAAGCGAAAGAAAACAAAGACCAATGTTGATGACAAGGGCTCAATCGAGTTGGGGAGATCTCTAGATTCAGTTTTTCTATTCAAATTTGTATATAATAATCTTTTTTATCTGGGGGATGCCTTTCCCCGTTTCCCTGTTTCTCACTGTGTATCCCTGCTAATTGCCACTTGTGTTCTTTATATTTTATTTGCAGAACTGAGCCAAGCGGAGCTGAAACCCATCCTGGAGATATACCCCAAACAGGAGGTACAACGCAAGCCTGTGGGCAAGCCCCTGATCCTCACCTGCCGCCCCACAGTACCCGATACGGCCCTGGTCGCTGATTTGCAATGGAAGGATAATCTCAACAATACCATCCTGCCGAAACCGTAAGTTTTAAAGTCTAACCTTCATTCGGTGATTGGTGAATTTCTTTGCTACCTTTGTAAAAATTTTAAATGTAAAAAATACCACACAAAAAAACACCATAAATGAATACACCACAAATGAACACACCAACCAACAACCAAACACCAAAACACACTCGCAAAAACACACACAATTATATCGAATATCGTATTGTAGGAATTACGATCCACTGTTTGATGCCAATGGCAATAGAAAGAAAGAGTAAGTGTGCCAATGATCAGCTTTCTACGAACTCCAGTAAATCAGTAAACCATCAGTAACAGCAACCAGTAACTTAACTGCAACTGCAACAGTAATCAGTAAATGCAACTGTAACTGCAACTGCAACAGCAAAATAGCTTAAAAAAAAAAACAAAAATATTAATTAAATAGCAATACGATAGAACGAACAATGACGAAGACTTGACGGATACTTTAACAGCAGGTGTTACCTTATATTTTAATAGTAACCTTAAAAATGATTTTAAAAAGGTTTCCCAAACTAAGCTGAAACTTTAACAGCAAGTTTTAAGTTTTCAAACATTTAAATTCGTATTTTTTATTTGTAAATTCTTTATCGATTGAACAAGGCTTCTCGCTTTTTCAACTAGTTCCTGTTAAACTTAAAAGCAAGTTTTGAATTTTCAAACATGTTAAAGTGACTTTAAAATAATCTCTTTACCTATATCTTGGTAATGTATCTTAAGCCTACTTTTTTATAGGCTACTGACTTTCTCCACAAAAGTGCCTGTTAAATTTAACGGCCACTTATTTGTCTTCTCTCAGGAACTAACAACTTGACTTTGACAGTTCCTAAGAAATTTTCAAAGCTTTATTCAGCGCTTTGCCAAAACTTAACACTGACTTTGACGACTACTTCAAAAAAATTATATCTAAATATTTTCTTTTTGAGAAAATTCAACGCAAGACTTTTGTAGCTTTGCCTCCGCCACCGCCCCTCGTTCCGTTCCATGTCCCTATTTTTTGTCGTTGTTATTTTTGGCATGATTAATTGTTTGACTTTTTGTTCTTGTTTTGTTGTTAACTCATCTCTCGGCTGTATTGAAGAAGACTGCATTTTGCCAGGCCCAAAAAAACTTACCACCAGTAGTAGCATTATTATAGGCATTTGACATTCTCCATTTACCATTCGACATCCGACACAAATGCACACACACACACGCATACACACACATCTTCCTCACACACATAAATACCTCTATTAGTTGTTGTACTAACAATCTCATAAAGAGTGCTCAAGAAATTTATATCTTTTTATTAGGATAGGTTTATGGTAATAGCATCTTTCCGTTTTCTGCTCATATTTTGTTTTTTTATTAAAAACTGAATCCGAAACATTACAAATTAACCTTTACAAATTTTTTAAGGCTGTCATATGTCTTTTCTAATTTAAAGAATTAATTAATCTTTCTCAAACAACTAAACAAACACAAACCTCAACAACAGGAATAAAATGAAATAGCAAAGAAAATTCTGCAAAAAAAAAACGTGCTAAGGGAAAAGGGAAAATTGCAATGCGAATTCTTAGGTTAAATATTCACATTGAAATCTGTACCTCTCCCCCTTGACTTTTCAGTATATGCGTGTGTGTGTGTGTGCATTTGCGTGTGAAAAGCGAAATCGTGTTAATTAATTTGCCTCTGCAGACTGACCGAACGTGGGGAAAATTCAAGAAATTGCGGGCAAGCTTAAACCCCCCTAGAGAGGGCTTCACACCTGAACCTGGCGAGGGAAAAGGGGGCGGGGTGAGGGGGATTCCACCTCCCCATTTAACCCTACAATGACCGCCGCCTTGCCATTGGAATGAAAAGGGTTTTTCCTGAAAGGGAAGGGACGACACTTTACGCCCAAACCATTGCGTGCCAATTAACCTCGTTTCCTCTTCAAACTTAAGCGAGTGGAAATTTGTGTTCAAGCTTGAATTTAGGAAATTTTATCTTACTTTTTGTAATTATAAAAATATTATATATATATTTTTATTTTATTTTTGTAGGTGACTTAACCAGACTTTATCTTCTATAGTTTCTGGCGGGGCAACCCTGTATTTCATTTATCATTTTCCCTCACTTTTCATTATGATTTGCTGCGTTTAGGCAACCCTGTCCAAGGGGATTTGCCAAAGCAAATGCAATTTCTCATTGCCAGAAAACGCCTGGCTGCGGAAATTTCCCTGCTTTTCTGCCTACTCTTGATTGTTTTGTGTTGGTTCGGTTTTTGGTTTTTCTGGCGAAAAATCACCCTTTTCCCACTGCATTTACACCGCCCTGCGGCATTGTTACCCAACCGCCCCACGCCCACCGCCCACCCCTTTGTCCTGTCCCAGTAACGCACTGCATTGCATACTTGCAGGCGCGAAATGTAATTAAGCTGCCAAAAACCAACCGACAGCAGCAGCAGCAGAATCAGCATCTCCCTGCATTTTCCCCTCCATTTTCCCACCATTTTCCAGTGGGAGTGTGCAGCAGCCTCCCTGGTTCCGTTTATACTCGTTGCCCAAGTTAATTAAAACGATTAAGTTCGGCATAGTTCTGCGGCCGGGCATTGCTCGCATTTTTGGCCACGGCTTTTGGCCTCGACGGATTTTGGTTTTCTTTTTTTTTTTGTAGAATTTTTACTTGACTTTTTTTCCATATTTTGTTGATTTCTGGCAACATCTTTTCATGGCCATTAGCCTGGGGGAAAACTTCAATGCCAGTCGATGCTTTGATGGGGTCAAGACTTTGAGGAAAATGTCAGGAAAAGAGGGGTAAAATGGGGCAACAGAAGTTACTCGGAAGAAAATGAAAAAAAATTAAATCGAAAAGGAAATTATATGAAAAATAATTTTATTATTAAATTAAATAAAATAACAATTTAATATTTTAATAATATAAATATTTCGAAATATATACAATAAATAATAATATAATAATAAATAATAAATACATAAATACAATATTTATATTGCAATTTAAAAATATAATATTAAAAATATAAATAAAAATTATATATAAATTATAAAATATAAAAAATTATTTATTTACAATAAAACCTTAAGGAAATCATTACAAATTTTATCTTTAAAAATTCCTTCAAATAAAGTCATAGAAATGCTTACATTTTATAAGAAAAAAACATCTAAATTCTCACTTATTTATATAGTCAAAAAACTTACTATTAAATATCCAATTAAATTATAAAGAAATAATTGCTTAAAGCCTTAATAAAATATTTTTGTTGTCATCTTTTGTCAACAAACAAAATGAAATTGAGTTGTAAAAGATGCCTGCCTCTGTGATCAATACAACAAAAATAAAATAAAAATAAAAAATAATAATAATGAAAGTGCACAATCTGAGAAAACTCTGCTTGCAGCTTTCCCGAGACTTTTCATTGCGTTTTCAATAACAGCGAAAATGGCAACGACGACATCTTTATTCGCATCTAAAGGGCCAAAAAGAAAATGCAATAAAAACGTAGAAATTGCTATGAACCCGCGGGAAAACCAAGGCGGTGCCAGGCCATGTTTCCTCCCAAAAAGAGACAATCAACAAAAACAAGGAAAAACCACCCAAAAAAGCTAAGAAAAATGAGACGGGGAAAATAGGGAAAATTTTGATTTTTACGTATGCGTAACAGTTTGCTCATCCCGTTTACCAACCCGCCTCGGTTTTTCCTCTATTTTTCCTGATCCAATGCTGGCTTTTCTTTTTTTTCACTTTTCTATTCGTTTTCCTTCTGTCTGTGTATGGGTGTGTTTGTGTGTGTGTGTGTTTGTGCAGTTCTTTGGCGCAATATTAAAAATCCAACGCAAATATGCAGCGAAATTTTTGCACAATGTCTTCAGCAGCCCGTCAGGGGATCCCCCTACGATTTTCCATTTTCTGCCCGCCCGCTGCGGTTTTCCCCTTGCCAAGTCGTTGTATTTTCTTTGTTTTTTTTTTTTTTTTTTCTTTTTGTTTTTTTCTGCGTCGACAACTTTTGTTAGCATAATTTTGGGCGCACAGAAATGAGGGTTTTCTAAGCACAATTGCGGTGCAAAAAATATGAGTTAAAAAGGCTTTAAAATTTAAAATATTAATTTTAATTTAATATTAATAGTGAATATTTTAAAATAAAAATATTTTTAGATTATATTTTAATATTAAAATATTAATTTTAATTTAATATTAATATTTAATATAAAAATATTTATTTTAAAATACAAAAAATCGTGGACATTTTGAAAAAAAATCTAAGGAAATAATTCATTAAAATAATTCTAAAATATAACAGCCAAGCGATAAAAAAAATCCCTGGGATTTTTTTTAAAACCCTTATTTAGGGTAAAAAACTAAGCTAAACAAATTTAAATTGTTAAACAAAAATAATACATAGTATTTGTTACGGTGTAGACAACCTTTTTTAAGGTTTTTAAAAACTCTGAACATTTTCGTAGCGCACTAAGTTTAGATTTAAATAAAAACTAATTTTCTAAATTATATTTAATATTTAAATTTCGAAAAATAAAAATGGAAATAATATTCTCACATTTAAATCTCTCTTTAATTTGTATTTCCCGTTAAATTAAATGGTTTTCTTTAAAAAATATATATATAATCTAATAATTAAATCTAAAATTTAAAAGACATCCTCTTTAGAGTCACTATTATTCTAGCCGCTGCTGTTAAGCCACACCGACATTCTTCGGTTTCCGGGATATGGTTATTTTTTCAGTTTTTGCATTTTTGCGAACAATTGCGAATTGCGAATTGCGAATCGCAAATCGAACGCAGGTTGTGCCTGTCCTTTAACAAATACAAGGAAACGAAAACAAACACCCGCACACCCACACACACACACCTACGTGTGCAATATATAAAACCAATTACAGTCGTAAAAACAAAAGTAGAAAAATAATAAAAAAGACGCGGAGCCTGTTGACGACTGTCAAAAATTGAAATCCACAGCCGCAAAAAACGAAGAGGCTTTTCATTGACTTTGCAGCTTTTCCAAATATTGCAATTTTCACTACTGCTGGGGAGGGGGGAGGGGGTTTAAACCAAACAAAAAATAGCAAAAAACAAAAAGTTCATCTTCTGCTTCTGTTCTTTTTCGAGTATTCCTTTTTTCTCTGTGTATAATATTGGTCTTTTTATTTGTTTGTTGTTTTTTTCGCTTCGTAATAATAATAACCAAACCGCCTCTATGCATATTTAGTTTTGTGCGCCAAAAGAAAACTTTTTTAATTAATTAGCACGTGGTTGGTGGTTGGAAAACTGTGAAATAGCCGCCGGCAGGATTCGAAAAGGAGTTTGTTTTACCAACTATCACTTTATATTTTTATTTTTTCTATTTTTCTGTGTTGAAAGTACATTAATTCGGCGGACTTTGGCAGTGTAATTCTGTTAATTCGCACACTAAACAGAGCAACTTAAGACTTGTTTATTTATGGAAACATAAACATATAGTAGAAGTAGCTGTGAAAAGGGAGGAAGATGTGGGCTTAGTTTTGGTATAAGGGGTAAGCACGCACAAGGTCTCCTTTGCCGAATTAATTAGTAATTATTTGTGGCACTTTAGAAGTTGTTTGGCTAGAAATTCGATAAGGAATTATATAAATAATAAGAAATAATTATGGTTAAGGAATTTCGAGGCTACATTTGGGAATATAGAACAAGGAAAGTGTTTAGACTAATACTTAGGGAAATTAATATTGAAGGAACTACTGGGCTTTGAAGTAAAGTACCACGGATTAGGGAGGTTTAAATTCTTCAAGTAGAAAAAATAAAAAAAATTAATAAAAAAAAAAAATAATAAATAATAATAAATAATTTTTTTTTTTTTTAATAAAATGTTGTAAGGAAATTAATAATAATAATAATAATAATAATAATAATTAAAAATAAATATATAATAAAAACACATTTTATTTGATGCTTCAAAAACCACTAGAGTTTTAAAACCTTTTTAAAATATGTAAAAGTATGTAACAATATTTTTTTATTTTTTTTATTTGGTTCTTTGAGTCATTATACATTGTTTAGCTTAAATGTGTACACATTTTTTAAAGTTTAAAAACCTTAACTAATTTCTAAAACCCCTGGATCAAGTAAATATTTTTAAAAATTAATTTTTACAATCAATATTCTTGTTTCCCGTCATTTTCTCCTTTTTTAAATATAAAAAAAAAACCCATCTTGTGGTTCCTAAATACTCTTCTATATTCCCTTTGAACTCTATACAAAACTAAACCACCTGTATTCACAAATTGTTGTTAGTTTTGCCGGTTTAATTGAGCTCAAAGGCCACCGTACAATAAATGGAAATCAATTACGCATAAAATGCGAAATATTTTCAAAGAGAATTTTAGTTTCACAATTTTTTTTTCTTAGCATTTGGTGAAAAGGCACTCGGGGAAAACCAAAAAAAAAGAAAAAAAAAGTGAAGAGAAGCCAAAACGAGACCCAAAGAATTTTCCCATTCAAAGTTGCTGTGTCAAATTTGCTGGAAATGCGAAAAATATTTGTAAACGAGCTGGGGAAAAGCGGAAAAATGCGTAGCAATACACAAACACACACACACACACACAGAGATTTTGGGAGGAAAAATGGCATGCAAATGAGCAGAGCTAAGTGCAGGGAAACTTTACTAACAGCAACGGCAATTGTTATAATCATCAGCATAAACATAAACATAAACATAATAATAATAATAATAATTATACGGAGAACACTCTCTCCACTCTATATACATCTCTATATACATCTCTATATATATATATATGTATATGTACTGACACCCGTACAATTGAAATGCATATTATTCCGTTACTAATACACACCCAACCTTCATTGCCTTCCCTTCGTTTTTCTCTCCACGCTTTTCCCCGGAATTTTCCCCACCCACACACAGGACGGGACGCAACCAGCCGCCAATGTACACGGAAACGCTGCCCGGCGAGAGCTTGGCCCTGATGATTACCTCGCTGTCGGTGGAGATGGGCGGCAGATACTACTGCACCGCGTCCTATGCCAACACCGAGATCCTCGAAAAGGGAGTCACAATTAAAACTTACGGTGAGTAGCGGTTGAAAACCACCGAAAAATATGTGTATACCTTAACATAATTTCCCCTACTGAAAATGCAAATGCAAAAGCACCACAGAAAATGTTTATTATCATTATTATTACTTTTGATGTTTTTATTTTGTTCTTAATGAAATACAGTAGTGGAATCTGGGTGAAAAGGATAGTTGTAGGACTTGGAAAAGTAAATATTACTTAAAGGGAATTTAATATAAAATAATAAACTTATTAAAAGGAAATTAAAAAGTTGTAATAATAAACTAAAAAATATAGGAATGATTTCTTTATAAAAACTAGAAAGTATAGGAAAGAAAATGAATACGATTTAAAGGGAATACAATATAATAAGCTTACAAAAAAGCAAATTAAATATCTTCCCTAGAAAAATACCAAGTACTTTGAAATTAATATTTATAAATTAAATTGTCATTAGTTCAATATTCAATATTTTCTCAAGCCACATCTCATTTCATTGCCTTCCCTAAACTTCCCTAAACTCAATTTCTCTGCGGCCTGGCCACATTAATTTCGCAAAGTACAGTTGCGCACTGTGTGCATTGGGTGGCCAAAATTTGTCATTACATGTCCGTGCATGCTTGACTTGTCGTTGTCGCCATCGATTAGGGACCGCTCAACTCCCCCAGCGTCCGTGATCGGGGCATAAAAGGGTGGGTGGATCCTGTGAGTAATCGCAATTTGAAAGCGGAAAAGCGGAGCGGAGCTCAACGTGATTCCTCTGCTGCTGCTGCATGATTCATTTATCTTGTTAGCAATTTGTGTCCCCTACACATTGCTCTCCGCTCAAGTGGGAAAAACTGGCGGCGAGGCAGTCCGGAATTACAGTTGCCGGGATTTCATTACATGCGCAGCATTGTGAGCGAATCTAAAACAAAATGGATGCGTCCAGTGCCAAAGGACACGACCCTTACAAAAGGGGGGTGAACAAAAAAATAAACTACATACAACCAGCAACAATACAAAGCAGAACACGTTCCTCAATAAGCAGAGAGCACACACTCCCACACACACACACACCTCACCGAACCTGCACACATTTTCGTTGGCTCGTTGGCTCGTTGACTCTCCACGAGCAGCACCCCTTCTCCGCCGCCTCCTCGAGTGCACATAAGTGACGCTGGAGCTCAAAACTTTTACGAGATTGATTTTTCTAAGCAATTTAAAGTTGGTACTCATTGCACACACTGCACAGAGCAAAAACCACTGCCCACCACCTACCTACACCACTGTTCCTATCTACTCACCCAACTACTGTACTACTGTCCCTATCTACTACCTGGTGTCCTTTCAGTGCAAGAAGGAGAGGGAGTCGACGGCCGAATGTAAAGAAATAGTGAGCCAACACACAGTGCTCAGTGCTCGTTTTCGTGAAATGTGAGAAATCCTGGACTGTTTCAGACAATTGCAGAGAAAGAAACAGAAACAGAAGCAGAAAACACTCCAAAATAAGTTACTAGTTTTGACAATTTAATGAAATCCTAAAGTCTAAGATGCTATCTATCGGTTTTTGGACATTAATTCCTTTTTACATTTCCTTAAAACTGGATTTTGATTGGTTATACAGAAGGAAATCTACGTTTTCTTCGGTGCAGTGGGAGGAGATCCATGGAGGACGTGAGCAAACCAGTATTGAGTGGAGGCCCAGGCCCAGGTTGGATGCGTTTGAAATGAAATCAAATATTTTGCCGGGCAACAATTTGTGCGAGTTGATATGGGCACCTGGAAACGGAGAAGCCGGCATAGTGGCTGCACTCCACTTTGGATCGATGTCAGGCAAACTGTTTGACTTGGAGTTGACTGCCTAGTGCTCTATGGTCTTCTCCATTGCGTTGCATCGGAGTAGGAAATAGGGGTAACGCTCGTATTGCAGGGCTATAGAATGTACACTCTCAGTGTTGACAAATGCCAGAACAATTCTACTTCTCACTAGTGTGGGTCAGTGCTAGCAAAAGCCAATGCCTGCAATGGCAACAACTTAAAGAGTGGGTCAAGTTTATTTAGGCTGCCTGTAGGACTTAATCTGTGTTGGTCAGCAGTGTTTATAAATGGGAGAAAATTCAATTTCTCAACAGTGTTGGTCAATGATAGAATATCGAAACTTTAATAATATATAAAAAATATACAAATAAATATATGCTGCCTGTCATTCCAAAATCTCATTAAATTCTTGGCCTCTTAACATGCCTCTTGTCCAGTGTTGTTTAATGCCAGTGTTGGCAAATGCCTAGACAAGAAGCATAGTTTTAAGAACCCTTTCATCGCTGAGGTCTGTGCTGGTCTGCTTGTAACTCAAGCGGCTTTTCCTCGAGCCAAAACCAAGCTGACCAACATTCAAATACAAAGCCTAACAGCAGTTAGTTAGGCGCCCAAGGATGTGGTGGGCAGGAGTAGCAGCAGGCAGCAGGCAGCAGGAGAAGTAACTGGCATTGTGTTGACAACTCACAAGTTGCATTTAGTTAAGCAAATAAGCAGCAGACACATTGCGACAGAGACAGACAGAGATATGAAGGCAAATTGCAGGATTTACTTTGGGTGCACTGAGAGAAATTTAAAAACAAAATGTTAGAAAAGATCAAATGAAATAATACAATTTTAGTAAGCTAAGATAAGAGTTAGTTTTGATTGGTTTTGTTTTTTTTTAATTTTTTATTATTATTTTTTTTTTTATATATTACTTTTTATATATTACTTTTTTTTGTATTACTGTTTTTCTCAGTGTACACATAAGTGGGTGGCAAGTTGGCTGGCGGTTGCTGCATATTTACATACCGTTGTTTGTGCCAGTCACAGCTTAATATTTCAATATTTATGCTTTTAATAAATGCATATGCTCGAAACAAACTTCCGCCAGAAAAGCAAGAGCAACAGAATCCGAATCCAGGAGTCATTGCAGAACATGTACATATATCCTGATATATATTTTTAAATATATATATAGTATAAAAGATGCTTCCGCTTTAAGTTACTACACACATTGCAGGCAAGCGCCTTTAAAGCATATTTCTGCTTTAATTTACACATTTAAATATATTTAAGTATATATATATATTAAAATATATATAGCTGCTATTATAGACACTCAATCCTTCTGCCTGATAATTGCCAAACATCCTTTTGGCTTTGTTACTGCTGCTGCCTTGTAATTGCCACTAATAATGTTGATTGGTGTCATTAGGGAGTTAGTTTTACTGTTAGCACTTTCAGTGATTTAACTAACTTGGCCAACTCTCACAACTTCCACTTAACAATTAGCCATACTTCCGGCTTGAATTTGCCAAAACTCTGGCTTGTTTTGTGTTTGTTTGGTTTAAGCAGTGATTTATTATAGCTCCGCAGCTAAACTAATTGCAAAATGATTAATTGCCAATAATTATTGATTAAGATAAACAAGTGACCTTAAATAGTTAAAGATTTAATTTGCCAAGGAAGTTGTTTATTTTTGTTGGTAAATATTTCTTTTCCTTGATTTTTGCAAAGAATTTTAGCTAAATAAACTTAAAATCTGTTTAAAAAAGGTATTTAATGGACCAGAAATTGCAACAATCTGTTCAATTTTATTATCACTTTTATAACACTTTCTAGATTCCCAGTTTCTGGAATCCAGTTTCAACCTGGTCAGCCGGTAATTTGAAGCCATTGCCGGTGCCCCTTTACCCCTCAAATCTTCCTTTTTCCTGTTGCTTCTATCATTCATCCTTTTTTTAAACCTTTTTCCAAGTCTTTTTATTTTTTTCTTTATTTTTGCTCTATTTTTAATATATTTTTTTTTTATTTATTTTTAATAAGTTGCCGCTGCAACTTTTTCAATAAGTTGGGTGAATCATGTTCTTGGTGGCAGATCCCGGATCCTGGTCTCTCCTGGGCTACGGACTCGCTGCCTTCTTGTCCCTGTTCAAACTAATAATGAAATCGTAAACTAGTTCATCTTTTTTCCTGAGAGCCAGAAGGAGTCTCTGGGTGTGTGTGTGGGTTTGCTGCCCATCAGACGTCAGAAACGAACGCAGCCAGCGAAAAGTGTTTGAACAACAAAATCTCACACGCTACGACAATGCAGCAGAGCAAACTGGGAACTGAAAAGAGCAAGACAGGGGAGAGGAGTAGAGAAAAATCTAAGGGGAAAGTGAGGGAAAAGTAAGGAAAAAGTCCTGGGTAAAAGGAAGGGAAATGACAGGAGCAGCAGCCAGGCAAGTTTTTATTTATTTTATATGTTGTGCTGCTGCTGCTGCTGCTGCTGCTTCTGCTTCACCCACAGTAAAAGAAAAATGGGGGAAAAAAATGAAGGAAGAGGGGAAATCTGGCCAGGATGCAGGGACATCCCTAGCCCAGACACTGCCAATAAAAAACTGCAAATAGAAAATGTTTTGAACACAACTTTCCGTTATTTTGGCATTGGCTTTGGATTTTTTGGCTCTTGCCAAAAACCGAATATATCGCCGGACATGGCAGCTTTCGGTTACGAGTATATATAGTATATATGTATATATATATTGATGTATATATACAGACAGATGGATTGTTATTACACTGATTTATAAATAAAGTGTAAATATTTGCTGGAATTGAAAGTCTGCCAATGATGGGTAACAGCCGAGAGGGATTTGTTGAGATTGCCTTTTCAAATGCAAAAATATGATGCCGTATGTTATTCAAGTCCAGTCAGTCAGTCAAGCAGTCAGTCAATCAGTCAATCAGTCAGTGAGTCAGTCAGTTGGGCAGTCATTCAGCCAGTTGGTAGCCATTAACACCTGCCAGCGTAGGTAGCCTTTGTGTCCTGTCCATGTGTGAGCATTCCAAGCCGGATTTACTTTCTGGACTTTGGAAATAAAATATTACATCAAGTTTTACATGCTATTCAAACATACACTAAGCTCTGCATTAGTACAGAATTATGTGTATATTTTCTGGAAATAAATACAAGAAGAAAGGGGGGAAAAAGGCAACAAATATACAGATAATATATAAGCAAAAACGTTGACTTGAAGGTAGAGAGCTCTTAAGTAACTTTTAAAGTAATAAAATCACCACAAATTATGGAAATTCAGAATTTAAATTAATAAAAAACAAAACTTCAGTCATGTCCAAGACTGGTTTAAGGCCGTTTTCTCTGAGTGAGCACAACTGTACCTGTAATATTTACCTGACAACGGATACAACTTCTCTCGCTTTTGAGGCCTCTTTTTGATTATTTTCCTACTAGACAAGGACCTTCCGCTTCACGCCTTGACTGACTCTCAGCCTTTCAACTTTGTATTCTTTCTATTTCTTTTATTTGTATTTTTTTGTATTTCGAACAGAGTCCTTAAGGGACGACGCCCCCTGTTTATCTGTGTGCAAGTATTTGATTTAGGAATTTCACTTTCGCAATGCACTATTCTTGGTCTCTCTGGGCTCTTGCCCATTTTCAATTTCCAAGTCATCTCTGCAGTAGAGATTTATTGGCAGGCAGTGCGACGGCGGTCCTGCGTCCTTCGTCCTTCGTCCTGCGCTCGTTAGTGACCCTTAAGGGGGGGGGTGGAGATGGTAGGGCTGGGGTATTGTAGCGCACATGTCTTGGACTTTGCGCCTGATGCTTGAATTGCTTTTATATGCCCGACAGTTTGTTTAAAATTATATTACGTATACGCCACGTAGCACCAGCTCAGCTTGGATTGTCAACATGAAACTAGGAGAGAGAGAAAGAGCGAGGGGAATAGAGGAAAGGACGACGCTTGGCTTGCATTTTTCCCGGAGTTTTTCCTCCAGTTTCTGCTGTGCAAATGAATGCGAAAAAGCAAAATCAAACAATTTGCGGACACCTCTAGCCCAGCAATTGTGCTGTCCAAACAAGCACTTGAAAAATATATATTTTAAATTTTTTAAATTGCTGTAAATATATTTATTGAGCTTAATTTGGAAAATCAAGGAATTTTCGTTTAACTTGAATATTTAAAATGCCTAAAAAAGTGTTATGTTTTAGACAGAAGCTTAAAAAGCAGTTAAGACGTCATTTTTGACCCCATAAATCATATATATTCTTGAACAGCATCAACAGCCGAGTCAATCTAGCCATTTCTTAAAGAACAAATTTTTTTATAAATTTTTGGAAAATTTTATAGGGGGTTACATCGTTGAAAATAGTTAAAAATTGACCCAAAATTAAAATTTTTTATATTTAAAATTAAGAATGCAGATTTGTTAAGCTAATAAAAACTTAAACAACAAAGCTTCCCCAATAAAATTTAATGAATTTTTAGCTTAGTTATGATCAAATTTCCGAATTTAATTTGAAAAATTATTATAAAACCAAATTCTAATGTTATTTTCTCTTTACCTTCTGCTTGCAGTGGCCATTACCTGGACGAATGCCCCCGAGAACCAATATCCCACCCTGGGCAAGGACTACGTGGTTATGTGTGAGGTGAAGGCCGATCCCAATCCCACCATCGACTGGCTGCGCAACGGAGATCCGGTGAGTGTCAACCCCGTCAAGTTCCCCAGAAAGCCACAAGTAACCAACAAATCGGTTTCTATATCCTCCCCAGATCCGCACTGGCGACAAGTATGTGGTGCAGACCCATGGCCTGCTCATTCGTGACGTTCAGGAGGACGACGAGGGCATCTACACCTGCCGGGCGGCTGTGATCGAAACTGGCGAACTCCTAGAACGCACCATTCGCGTGGAGGTCTTCATACAGCCGGTGATTGTGTCCCTGCCCAGCGAACTGGAGGCCACCGAGGGCCAGCCCTACGCTGCCAATTGCACGGCCACCGGTAAACCAGTGCCGGAGATAAGCTGGATCCGTGATGCCACCCAACTGAATGTGGCCACGGCCGATCGCTTCCAGGTTAATCCCCAGACAGGACTGGTGACCATCAGTTCGGTGATCCAGGAGGATCACGGCACCTACACGTGCCTGGCCAAGAACAAGGCCGGCGTGGTGGATCAAAAGACCAAACTGAATGTCCTGGTGCGTCCGCAAATCTACGAGCTGTACAATGTGACCGGTGCCAGGACCAAGGAGATTGCCATCACCTGTCGGGCCAAGGGTCGTCCGGCTCCGGCCATTACCTTCCGACGATGGGGCACCCAGGAGGAGTACTCGAACGGCAACCAGGTGGACGATAACAGGATCACCCTAGAGCGTTATTTCGATGAGGAACGCGGCGAGAGTACCGGCACCCTGCGCATCAACAATGCCCAGCGCAGCGACGACGGACTGTACCAGTGCATTGCCAGGAACAAGGGATCCGATGCCTACAAAACGGGACACATTACGGTCGAGTTTGCCCCAGACTTTAGCCACATGAAGGATCTGCCGCCGGTATTCTCGTGGGAGCAACGCAAGGCGAATCTCAGCTGCCTGGCCATGGGCATTCCCAATGCGACCATCGAATGGCACTGGAATGGACGCAAGATCAAGGATCTGTATGATACCAACCTGAAGATCGTCGGCACCGGACCCCGCAGTGACCTCATCGTGCATCCCGTAACGAGGCAATATTATTCCGCCTACAAGTGCATTGCCACCAATATTCATGGCACCGCAGAGCATGACATGCAGCTGAAGGAGGCCCGTGTTCCGGACTTTGTTTCCGAGGCCAAACCCAGCCAGCTGACAGCCACCACAATGACCTTTGATATCCGTGGCCCGCCCACAGAACTGGGCCTGCCCATTTTGGCGTTTAGTGTGCAGTACAAGGAGGCCTTGAATCCGGATTGGTCGTCGGCCTACAATCGCAGCTGGTCACCGGATTCGCCGTACATTGTGGAGGGTCTGAGGCCGCAGACAGAGTACAGCTTCCGGTTTGCCGCTCGCAATCAGGTGGGATTGGGTAATTGGGGCGTCAATCAGCAGCAGTCGACGCCGCGTCGCTCGGCTCCGGAAGAGCCCAAGCCGTTGCATCATCCCGAACAGCATGACCAGGAGGAGCCAGTGGTTGTGTCCCCGTACTCCGATCACTTTGAGCTGCGCTGGGGAGTGCCGGCTGACAATGGAGAGCCGATCGACAAGTATCAGATCAAGTATTGCCCGGTGAGTAAGCAGAAGAAACGTTAACAATTCGAGCTGAAAATAAATCGATTTTCAGTGAATCGATTTATGTCCTTAAAATTCGAAAAGTAAATCGATTAAAATACATTTTTTACCTCTTCTTTTAAAGGGTCTCAAGATGTCCGGCACCTGGACGGAACTGGAGAACTCCTGCAACACCGTTGAGGTCGTGGAGACCACATCCTTTGAGATGACACAGCTGAATGGAAACACATACTATCGCATCGAGCTGAAGGCACATAATGCCATCGGCTACTCATCGCCAGCATCCATTATCATGAAGACGACACGAGGTGAGTCCGATTCTGCTAATAACAATCTCGGCACGTTGCTCTATTCGGCCGGGTTCAACTCCGGCGTCGGTGCGCTACACAAACGACTGTTTACACCAACCACATTCACATCGACAACAGCAACCACAGCCACATCGATAACAACAGCAACAACAGCAATCATTACGCTGGCCACCACAATAAGCATAACATTATTTAGTGTCCTAGCCTCAATGTTAGTCTAAAAAAGTCGAAAGAAAGGAAAGCAATTCGAGGAATCGATGGGTTCGGCAACAGTGTGAACGTGTTATGTCTGCGTCTGGTGTGTATGTGGCATTTCCTGTCCATAGCAACGGACGCAGAAGTCTACCCGGGCACTACTGTTGTTTGGCCAATCGATCTTTCGACTTGGAAAATCAAAAAAATGATCGAAACGAATCTTTTCCCAGCAAGAACATGAAACATATATATATATTTAACTGAAAGAAATCTCTATATACACTCACTCTCACACACTCTGAGACACATCTACATTGAAAATATATATATATAGATAAAGACATAATTTTTACTGCTCTATATATATATATATACGAATATATAGTATGAATATGATATATATCCCAGATATAATCGATCAATTTTGCATACATTTTTGTAGTGTTCATTTCAATTGCGTTTCAACCCTTTAGTTTTTTGTTGTTCACAATCCCACCATCCCGTAATGCGTCTCCTGTCCCATGTGTATCGTTATCGATACATTTTTGTAACTTTAATTTGCTCAACGTTTTAAACTTAATTTCGTTTGTCCTATGTTCTGGAACATTATATTTGGTTTTGCATGTTTGTTTGTTTTTTTTTTGTGCGTTCTGATCTGTCTAGAGCATCTTACCCTTAATGCCAATTAATCAGTAAGCGCCCGTAAGCCCCACAATTTTTATCGATAACTTATGATAATGCATACATTCCAACCGACATGACCGACACACATCCACACTGAGCCAAAATAAATAGCAGCCAAATTGCCTAAGTGTTGCAACGCATTTGAATTTGAGCATTAAATTTCATTTGAGCCCAAAACGTCATATTCACACTTTGCAGTCAAATGCAAAGTTCACACCAGTCAGCTGTTGTATAGAAGAAAAGTGAGAGATGCGCATCACGAATTCAACTTTAGCTTACTTTAATTACGCTCCATTTTTTTTTTATTACCATTCTTAAGCATTTACTTAATTATAATTACCAACACTAAACATAACATTACATATATATATATCTTTGTGACGCGAAATTTACATATTACATATTTAATTTTATATTTTTGTGTGTGTGTGTGCATATATTCATCACAGTTTTTTTTATTGTAATATTATTAATGAAAAAGTACGAAATATAAAACAAAAAAACACTGTTAAATGTAAAACCTAGTACGTAAACGAAAAGCGATGAAAAAAAATAGAACAAACAAAAACAAAAATTATTTTCTTTTCTGTTTTGAAAATTGGACTACTACCACTAGAGTTCTTCATTATTATTATGACTATTATTATTATTTTTAACACATCGATTATGATTTTGAATTAATTTGATTTTGTGTGTATACTGCGACTACTACTACTTCTTTAGTTAAATTCTTCAATTATAAGCAAAATGAAAAGTTTCTCAAATAAAACATTTATATATAAAAAAAAAAAAAGAAAACCAAACGAAACAGACTGTAATTTACTCATCTCTCTTTTTTATTATCAGTTATCTGCCTGCGTCGTCTCTCTCTATCTATCTCTCTGTCTCTATCTACCTCTGTGTCTGTCTCAGTTGCTGTCTCTGTCTCTTTCACTGACACTGTCTTCTTTTTCGCTCTCGCCGTCGATTTGTTGTCCTTTTTTGGTTGCTAACTTTAAGTAAATGTTGTGCGTAGTCTGTTTGTGTTTGTTTTGTGTGTGCCATATATTTGTCTCTTTCTCTCTCTCTCTCTCTTGTTCCAATCTCTCAACTCTCCATTGTCCAACAACCTTTATCCTGACAGATCCTGTTACCCTTACCGTTTCCATTTCCCCCCCCTGCTTTCGCCTAGACATAACCCCAACTTTAATAAGTAAACTCTTGATCTTTTGGCTAACCAGTGGACTTAGTGTGTGCATCTAATTAGGCATTTAGTCATAGTTATTATACGTAACCAAAAAAAACAAGCAGAAACTCAACTAACACATTTTGGTCGAGCAACAAGTATCCCTCACAACCGAGACAAACAAAAGAAACAAAGAAATAAACAAACTAACAAACAAACTAACCCACACAACACACACTCCCTCAAACACACACACTACATGCACATTGTGTTTCGATTCGTCGCCGTCGTCGTCGTCGTCTGAGTAACCAAAATTAAACTAAAAAAAATCTAATATATATATAACTAAAAACCCAAAAATGTGCAATGAAGACCAGCCAACAACAACAAACAAAAATTGTTCTTTTGTGTGTTTCCTTTTCTTCCTTTTTCTTCTACCACTTTTTCTTCCTTGTTTTTTCTCTCTTTTATGATGTGTGTGTGTGTGCCTAAAACCACAACAACAACAAAATCCAAATGAATGAAAAAAATAACAAACTGTACAAAAAACCTCAAACCAAAATGCGATACAAAAATCGAAAAAAACCCCAATTTGAAAATCGAAATCGATAACAGATAACCCGCATCCCCAAAAATCGAGCGGTGCTCCATCCCTGGACCGACTGCTTGCTCTCTGCGCTGCCTTGCCGATAATGCTGCTCCTGCTGACGCCAACGACGCCGCACACTGCTTAAAGGACACCTTCCCTTTAGAGAATCCCCCTGCTGCCAAACCAGAAGAACCACAGACACACACACGAAAGCTTGTAAGCTTGGAGGATCCATTCGCTGGTCGTGTCTATCAAGGGTTTTCCTTTCTTTAGTTTCTTTCCTGCGTTTTTTTATGGTGTGTGTCAATGTGTAAATAATAAGGACAACCAGAAGAAATACAAAAAAATAAACAAAAAATACAACAAAAAAATATAATAAATAAATAAGAAAGAGCGAAAATAAATGATACATTTAAATAGCATGAGATGAAGCGAAAAAAAATTTAGAGTTATCTTAACTGTGCTCAAGTAGAGAATATGAATCCATAGGAATATCACACTTTGGGGCGGGTATAACGATTCCATTAACTGTACAAAACGAAAGAAACCAATAATAAACCATGAAAATATTGATGAATTGATGGGAAAAATGAAACGGATTGCCAATGCTTACACAATTGATGATAATGAATTGTACTTACGTAACCCCATATCCTAATGTCTAACCGCTAGAGACCTTGTTTAACTACCACTAAGCCGATGTTAAGTTGTTATTTAGTTGTATATGTAACGTGTATGTATGTGTATAGTGAGAGCATTTATTATTATTATTATTACAACAATTATTCAACACCGAAGCAGCCCCATTCCGCTTAGTTCAATGTGAATTTTACAACACTGCCAAGCGAATAACTTAAACCAAATTTATAAATACAATATATATGAGAAATTTTAGCGAAATTCTACAACCAAAAGTAAAAGAAAGAAGAAATGAAAAAGTAATATCAAGTGCATACGAGTACAAGTTACCAAAAACCATTAGATATACAAACGTTAACCAACACCTACGATTAGCCAAAAAAGCTTCTTCCAACACTGTTTTCCGAAAGCAGTTCACTCGAGTCTCTGTTGTTTTTTTTTTTTGTTTTGAAGTAAAACACATTAAGAGAGGGGACAATAAGTAACTCAAACTAAGTTAAAGTGCGACTATGTCTTATAACGAATTTTTGCTCACACAACACAACACACACTCACCCACACACTTGCACTCAAGGTGTTTCAAAGCGATTTTAGCTTCCGTTGATAGCGTTTAGCGAATGCAAACTCGACTTCCTGTATACACGCGATTTTTTTTATAGCAAGCGAAATCGATTTTTCTAGCCAAATATATATAATATATATATATTATATATATATTATCGTAAATTCAAAAAAAAAAAAAAAGGGAAAGAAAGCAATTTATACCTTTACAATATCTAGTTATACATACGTATACACCATATAGTTAGTGAATAATTCTTCAGCCCGCCTAACGTTGCTGACATGGGGATAGTGTTTTGTCTTTTTTTTTATATATATTTCCTCGATCCTTTCGAGGATAAAATCACACTTGGAAAAAACAAACATACATACATACATATAAAACGCAAAAACGAAAATTAAGGTGTCATGATGAATGTTGTAAGCAAAATGAAAGCCTACCACTTAAGCAGTTCATTTTTTGGGTAATAAAGAACACAACTTTAAAAAAAAAGAAAGCAGTGCGTGCGTGTGTGTGACTTGGGGTTTGCCAGGGTTGCCACCATATCAACCAGCTTAACACGGATGCCGCCAGGTAACAAAACAGGAACTCCCCGTTAAACTATGTTACTCTATAGTTAACTCGTTTTTTTTTTACTCTGCACTGCACACAAAACACTAACAGATCCAAAAATGTAATTTCCCCACAAAACAAAACAAAACAAAACAAAGAGAGAAAACTGTTAATAAAACCAGCCTTATTGTTGATTGTTCATTGTTGTTTATGTTTATAGTTTAAAATATAAAAAATAAAACCAACCAAAACCAATCACCTTGCAGCACTCTAGCCAAACCAACCCGCATATGTCCCCATATAATTCCTATATCCTATATCGCAAATATACATAATCTTTACACCTAAAATGTAAAAAAATAAAAATTAAACCTAAGTTGAATTGCCTAACACTGCTTGTATACTTTGCATATTGGCCTAAATTCTGTAATTTTTCTGTATTTTTGCAATTGTAAAAACCACAAAATGAAAACTTTTCTTATTATTTCTGCTTCTTTCACTCTCTCTCTCTCTCTCTTAAAAGAAAGGCCTTTTCCACACCATTTTCCCCACCAAAAGAAAAACTTTCCACACTCCACTCTTCCCCCTTTGGCTGCATGCTTTATTTGTATCCTGTTAACCTGTTATCCTGAAAGCAACCTGTATATCAATTCCGTTTGCTTTGTTTGAAACAGCTTTTCGTGTTATGTCAAATTGGTGCCATTTTAATTTATTTGTTTATTATTATTATTATAATTATTATTTTGTTTGATTTATGATTGCTTTTAACTTATGGCTATTTACCTCTTACCACTTTGATTTCGTTTGATCTTGGCTATTGTTACTGTTAACGGTTAAGTTCCTAATTATTTCAAAAACCACCAAAATAATACACACACAAAAATGTAAAATATTAACCAGCATTTAAGAACAAAAAACAAAAAAAAAGAAGGAAAAGCAAGTGCTTTTAACTGTGTAAGATTAGCTTTTAAACATGGAGTTAAGGCGAGAGGAGAGGTGTCTCCTAGGCTAGTGGCTTGTACCACCTAGATATAAGCAACCCCCCTGAACCCCCCCCCATATCTTTATCTGAGAATCTTACTAATCAAGTACACTTTGTTCCCTCCCCCCCTTTTCCCCCGAATCCTTTTGTAATTCCCTTGGAAAAACAAAAACAAAAACAGGCATCGATATCATCCAGGTGGCAGAGCGACAGGTCTTCTCCTCGGCAGCCATCGTGGGAATTGCTCTGGGCGGCGTCCTGCTGCTCCTCTTTGTGGTGGATCTCCTCTGCTGCGTCACCGTACACATGGGCGTCATGGCCACCATGTGCCGCAAGGCCAAGCGATCGCCATCGGAGATTGACGACGAGGCCAAGTTGGGCAGGTAAGATGCACACAAATTTTAATTATTTAATTTTTAAATATTATTATAAAAATATATAAAGAATTAATTAGAGGCCAGGATAAAGGGGGGTTAATTCGATTGGAATTTATATTAATTTATTTATTATTTAAATATTTTTAAAATATATTTTTCAAAAGTTATTCTTAAATTTTTCCATTAAATGTTATTTAATTTAATGGAAGAATTAAAAAAATTAAATTAATGAATTAATTAAAATTAAATAAAAAAATTAAATAAACTAATTAGTAAGCTTAATTGTTTAACTTAAATCAAAAATTAAAAATCACTAAAAACTCTAAAATTTAAATTAAATAAAAAGAAAAACACAAAAAAACGAAACAAACTATGTTAACATCGAGTTTCTTCCATCTCTAACTGATAACAATCGAATTAGCCTCTCTTAAACATATCGACTATCGACTAGACTTATCGTAGCTTTTTCTGTGTATTGATTTAATTGAAAAAGTGTTACGAAATATTGCACTAAAAATCCGAATTAGAAACCGAATTTAACATTTTGCTTATCGCCTTACGTTCTGTTTGTGTTTTTTTCCCACCACCACCACCACACGCTCCTTGTTGCGATTAAAAATCGAAATCGAAAATCGATATAAAACAGGCGCCCGGACTTTGAGTACAATTGGGTCTATGCACGGCCCAAGTCCTTGTTGTTCAATCGCAATTCCCTGATATCCGTCTGAGAGATTCGGCCCAGAATCAGTGTTAAAAATTTTAAAATTAACTAAGATAAACTTTAAACTTTTCGTTTGTCTTCCAATTTTTAGTGCAATATTTAAAAAAAATATATGAAATAAGAACAACACACAAATTATTTTCAATTACATTTTTCCAACACAATACACAGAGTTTGGCTTAGTAAATAATTTCCTTAGTTTGTTGCCTTAAATTGTTACCAGATTGTTGTTATAAAAATTAGTGTGTGTAAATTAAGAAATTAAAAAGAATTTTTAAAAATATATAAAAATGTTTAACTTAAGAGTTTTAATTGAGAAAATAAGAGATTTGATTATATATTATTTATTAAAAGGTTTTAAAAGTAAAATTATTATTTTATTTACTCAATTGAAGCTCCTTCAAAATATTAAAAATATTTAAAATTTACATTTCAAACACACCTGCCACACACACGCATTGTTCCATCGTACACATTAAATACCAAGCTATAATCTATGTGCTATACTCTCTCTCTCTGCTAAATACTAAATCAAACCTCATCATGTATTATTCCCACCACACACACACACCCATCAAAAACATATATCAAAATCAAAATCAACCCAAAACCAACCAAAACCAAAAAAACCTCAACCATCTAACCTAGCAGTCTTTATGGTTGGCGTTTTCCGCTACCTTATTGCAGTGGCCAGCTGGTAAAGGAGCCGCCACCGTCGCCGTTGCCACTGCCGCCGCCGGTCAAGTTGGGCGGTTCGCCCATGACATCGCCATTGTACGTACCCCCCTCCTCAGTCAACAGTTGTCATTTCCTTATCCGTTTTTAAGTTTCCGTTTCAATTTCCATTTCCGTTTCCGTTACTCTCTGACTACCTTTGCTATCTCTCTTGCCTCTCTCTTGCCTCTCTCTGCATCCTTTGCCTCTCTGTTGTGTGCTCCTTTCACCCCCAATAACCTATTTATAAACCTCATGAGTCATTCATTAGCTTCATTAGCTAGCACTGCATGCCGCCAACTTAGATTAAGAAGTCAAAACTGGATTTAATGGGTATTACTAAACCCTTAAAGGTTGTCAATATTTCACTCAGAAGCCTAAAAGTCAGTGAAGGAGTCATTTCCCACCCTATAAATCATATATATTCTTGATCAGCATCAACAGCCGAATCGATTTAGCCATCTAGGGAGGAAAAAAAAATTTTAGTAATTTTTTCAACATTTGATAAGGGGTTACATCATTAAAATTTGAAAAAAATTGAAAAAAATTAAATTTTAAATTTAGTATGCAGATTTTTTAAGCTTAAAAAAACTAAGAAAACCCCGCTTTCCGAATTGAATTTAAAGCATTTTTGACTTAGTTATAGATTTTTTAAATTTTATTAATTTTATTTTTTTTCAAGAAATTCTAAAAAATATTTGATAAGGGGTTACATTGTTAAAATTGTTAAAAACTTAATTCTTCAAAATTTCTTAACTAAAAATGCAGATTTATTAACATAATAAAAACTAAAAAATAATAACTGTGCTTTCAGAAAGGAAATAAATAAATTTTTAGCTTAGTTATGATATTTTTAAACTTAAAAAAATAATAATAAAATATTATAATTATAAACTAGTTTATTTTTCATTAAATTTAAATAACTTAATTTAATAATTTCTTAGTTTTTTAATTTTTTGCTAGCCTGCAAAATAAATTAGATTTTTTAAATATGCTATTTCTATATGCTATTTCCACTCTTAAAAACAAAAAATAAATAGTTAAACAATAGCAACAGGTGAGTCTACTGCTGGCAGGCAGTGTGCACCGCTTGGCATGTGTAGAGCAGGCAGCTTTCGCCCGGCTGCAAGCAGTTCTTGGCTGGGAATGACCGTTGAGCTTTGAAATTTTATAAGAGAATATTTTAAACTAAATAAAAATTAATTTATTTTATATATTTATTCACAGAGATGAAAAGGAACCGCTGCGCACGCCCACCGGCAGCATCAAACAGAACTCGACCATTGAGTTTGATGGCCGCTTTGTGCACTCGCGCAGTGGCGAGATTATTGGCAAGAATTCAGCAGTGTAAATGCCAGGGATACAGAGTAGGAATCCCAGGATACCAGGTTACCCAGGATACCCAGGATAACAGGAGAACGTGCACAAAGACGGACCGAAGAGTGATGGAGATACAGAAAGCCAAAGAACACTTGAATAATGCATCTATTGGCACTCTGAGTTGGTTTTTCATTTACCTTTTGTACACGGCAAGAAAACCGAACTAAATGTCTCAACTATAAATACATACGATATCTAACACACACACACACCTAGCACACTAAGCTCGAACAAACAGATCAAGTAACTCCATGTCGCTTCATTTAACTAGTTTACCAGAAATCATTACAGTGTATTCTTTGCATTTGCTTTTGCCACACACACAAACACGGTAAATTAACAAATTAAATATAAAAAAAGAAGATAAAGAGAGGAGAACCTAGCCTAAGTAATATATATATATATATGCAAGAAGGAAATCTTAAATTAATGCCTTACAAAAAAAGAAACAAACAAATTATTACATTTATTTAGCAGTTAAACGCGACAAAAAAGTAGGAAGAGAAAGGAAAGGAGAGGGGTGGGGATTTATGCATGTAAGCCGCAAGGAATAATGAAGATTTCTTTAGTATAACTAACTTAAACATGCCATAAATAAGTTTAAACATTAAGTTTGCATTGATTGTCAACCCAACACACCCCCACCCACCCACCAATTCGTAGTATGTACTTAAAAAAAAACAAACGCTGAACAAAAGACTTGCGAGCATTTCTTTCTCTCTGTGTAGAAGAGAAACGAAGTTAAATAATTTACTTGAATATTTTTTAGTTTTTATAAAAAAAAATATTTAAAAAAAAATCCTTGGTTTCCTCCGCCAGAAAACACACAAAACTTAATGGAAAAAATGCTCAATGTATATTAAATTGATGTTTAAAATTATCTAAAACGAAAATGTTGACAAGCTTATAAAATTACACTTGCAAAAAATCCTTTAAAAAATTAAAAACTAAACTAAAATTAAGAAATAACAGGAGATTGCCAAAAACAATTCGCTTTATCATTTCAAATTCATCCCCTTCATCGATGCTCAGTTTTGTGTTACAAGTATTTCTCTTATGTATGTAAAAATTAAACAAATTGTATGTTAAGCTATCTAACGGATATATAAATCTATAAATATATGGTATGTACATGTATTTAAAAGTTAATTGTAAGTTTTTTTTTTTACTACACACAAAAAACGGAATAATTCAAAAAAATAAAAAAGGAAAATACCTAATATATATCTGTGTGTATACAAGCCGATCTGAATGTATGTATATGTATGTATAATCCCTTAAAGAAAGCGCATTCCCCCCCAACATTCTTCGTTGAGATCCCTGTTTTCCTTCCGAGCTTTTGTAGCTTCTGTTGCCTTGCCAGAGCTTTTTACCTTATATATACATTACAATATATGAACAATACGATAAACTATATACAAGCCAGTCGGATTATACGGATCGGGGGATAAAGGAAAATGGAGGCTACACATCCCACAATGTTTTTGCTGCATATGAAATATGCATTTGCTGCTGCAGGAACAGGAACCTATATGCTATATGCTAGACTATATATAGTTTCCGTTTCGGCAAACAGCGGCAGAGTGTAGCTTTTTATAATGACAAAACTAAACTATAAAATTGAAGGAAAAATTATACATACAAATGGGGGACGAAAATAAATCGTATTTACTGTACCATAATAATTCCAAAAAAACAACAATTGTTTTATTTTCCATGGAGAGCTAAGGTATGGTATTTACATTTTTTAGATTTTTTATTATACATTTACAATATCTTGAGAATATTTTGTGAAAGTTTCACAACGATCATGAGAAAATTGAATAAGTTATGAGGAGTTGAATGGAGGTCGTTTGGTGTTAAGAGCGCTAAAGTAAAGTAAAGTAAAGTCTCTTTTCGAAGTCTATAACTCCTAGACCTCTTAATATTTTTCAATGCAATCTGCATCCTTTGCCTCTCTGTTGTGTGCTCCTAGCACCCTAGAACAGGGATCAGGAATCAGGAATAAGGAGAGAGCACCGCTAGTCAGGTCTGCCGGCTACTTTTACAACAACAGCAACGAACACAACAAGCAACATTTTAATTTTAAAATACTTTATTTTATTCCATGTTAATGAACTTAAATTAAAACAATGAAATACATTATTTTATATTATTTTGTTTTAGTTTATTTTACCTATATAAGAACAATGATATGAGCATCACTGGCAGTTAGTAAGATGCCTATAATTTATAAAAACCCCTCATAAGTGTATTTTAATTATTTTCTTAGTTTTATTGCCGCTTTAAAAGGCGTTTTCCTAATTTTTCTTTTATTTTTCTGGTTTAAATCAAAAAGTAAAAAAAAATTGCATACTTTTAGGCATTTTAAAATATAAGTTGTTCATTTTTGTGGCATCTTTTGCGCTGAATTTTTAAGTCTTTGATTAAAATATAAAGTAAGGCATACTTTTGGGCGGGGATGAATGCAACTCCACTTTTACAGTTTGACAAGCACTGGACCAAGCACTTGTCAAACTGTAATCTGAACTTCCGCCTAAAAGATGCCACGTTTTAATAGAAATCCCCAAAAGTATGCTTTAATTTATAAAAAATATCAACAAAAAATTAGAAAAACTGTTTTGAGTTGCTTTTTCTATGCTTAACAAAACTGCATACTCAGTTTTGCTAAAATACTTACCTATAAAAATGTGAACTTTACAACTCGGCCAAAAATGCACGAAATTTAAAACTTAGTATGCAGTTTTGTTAAGCTTAGAAAAGGCAACTCAGAACAGCTTTCCAAATTGAAATTCATGCATTTTTGGCCGAGTTATGAGGGTTTTTCATAAATTATAGGCATCTCACTAACTGCCAGTGATGCTCATCTAGCTATTTTGCTAAATAGCTCATAACTCGGCCAAAAACGCATGAAATTCAATTCGGAAAGCTGTTCTGAGTTGCCCTTTCTAAGCTTAACAAAACTGCATACTCAGTTTTGCTAAAATACTTACCTATAATTTATAAAAAATATCAACAAAAAATTAGAAAAACCCTCATAACTCGGCCAAAAACGCATGAAAGTCAATTCGGAAAGCTGTTCTGAGTTGCCCTTTCTAAGCTTAACAAAACTGCATACTCAGTTTTGCTAAAATACTTACCTATAATTTATAAAAAATATCAACAAAAAATTAGAAAAACCCTCATAACTCGGCCAAAAACGCATGAAATTCAATTCGGAAAACTGTTTTGAGTTGCTTTTTCTATGCTTAACAAAACTGCATACTCAGTTTTGCTAAAATACTTACCTATAAAAATGTGAACTTTACAACTCGGCCAAAAATGCACGAAATTTAAAACTTAGTATGCAGTTTTGTTAAGCTTAGAAAAGGCAACTCAGAACAGCTTTCCAAATTGAATTTCATGCATTTTTGGCCGAGTTATGAGGGTTTTTCATAAATTATAGGCATCTCACTAACTGCCAGTGATGCTCATCTAGCTATTTTGCTAAATAGCTCATAACTCGGCCAAAAACGCATGAAATTCAATTCGGAAAGCTGTTCTGAGTTGCCCTTTCTAAGCTTAACAAAACTGCATACTCAGTTTTGCTAAAATACTTACCTATAATTTATAAAAAATATCAACAAAAAATTAGAAAAACCCTCATAACTCGGCCAAAAACGCATGAAATTCAATTCGGAAAGCTGTTCTGAGTTGCCCTTTCTAAGCTTAACAAAACTGCATACTCAGTTTTGCTAAAATACTTACCTATAATTTATAAAAAATATCAACAAAAAATTAGAAAAACCCTCATAACTCGGCCAAAAACGCATGAAATTCAATTCGGAAAACTGTTTTGAGTTGCTTTTTCTATGCTTAACAAAACTGCATACTCAGTTTTGCTAAAATACTTACCTATAAAAATGTGAACTTTACAACTCGGCCAAAAATGCACGAAATTTAAAACTTAGTATGCAGTTTTGTTAAGCTTAGAAAAGGCAACTCAGAACAGCTTTCCAAATTGAATTTCATGCATTTTTGGCCGAGTTATGAGGGTTTTTCATAAATTATAGGCATCTCACTAACTGCCAGTGATGCTCATCTAGCTATTTTGCTAAATAGCTCATAACTCGGCCAAAAACGCATGAAATTCAATTCGGAAAGCTGTTCTGAGTTGCCCTTTCTAAGCTTAACAAAACTGCATACTCAGTTTTGCTAAAATACTTACCTATAATTTATAAAAAATATCAACAAAAAATTAGAAAAACCCTCATAACTCGGCCAAAAACGCATGAAATTCAATTCGGAAAACTGTTTTGAGTTGCTTTTTCTATGCTTAACAAAACTGCATACTCAGTTTTGCTAAAATACTTACCTATAAAAATGTGAACTTTACAACTCGGCCAAAAATGCACGAAATTTAAAACTTAGTATGCAGTTTTGTTAAGCTTAGAAAAGGCAACTCAGAACAGCTTTCCAAATTGAATTTCATGCATTTTTGGCCGAGTTATGAGGGTTTTTCATAAATTATAGGCATCTCACTAACTGCCAGTGATGCTCATCTAGCTATTTTGCTAAATAGCTCATAACTCGGCCAAAAACGCATGAAATTCAATTCGGAAAGCTGTTCTGAGTTGCCCTTTCTAAGCTTAACAAAACTGCATACTCAGTTTTGCTAAAATACTTACCTATAATTTATAAAAAATATCAACAAAAAATTAGAAAAACCCTCATAACTCGGCCAAAAACGCATGAAATTCAATTCGGAAAACTGTTTTGAGTTGCTTTTTCTATGCTTAACAAAACTGCATACTCAGTTTTGCTAAAATACTTACCTATAAAAATGTGAACTTTACAACTCGGCCAAAAATGCACGAAATTTAAAACTTAGTATGCAGTTTTGTTAAGCTTAGAAAAGGCAACTCAGAACAGCTTTCCAAATTGAATTTCATGCGTTTTTGGCCGAGTTATGAGCTATTTAGCAAAATAGCTAGATGAGCATCACTGGCAGTTAGTGAGATGCCTATAATTTATGAAAAACCCTCATAACTCGGCCAAAAACGCATGAAATTCAATTCGGAAAGCTGTTCTGAGTTGCCCTTTCTAAGCTTAACAAAACTGCATACTCAGTTTTGCTAAAATACTTACCTATAATTTATAAAAAATATCAACAAAAAATTAGAAAAACCCTCATAACTCGGCCAAAAACGCATGAAATTCAATTCGGAAAACTGTTTTGAGTTGCTTTTTCTATGCTTAACAAAACTGCATACTCAGTTTTGCTAAAATACTTACCTATAAAAATGTGAACTTTACAACTCGGCCAAAAATGCACGAAATTTAAAACTTAGTATGCAGTTTTGTTAAGCTTAGAAAAGGCAACTCAGAACAGCTTTCCAAATTGAATTTCATGCATTTTTGGCCGAGTTATGAGGGTTTTTCATAGATTATAGGCATCTCACTAACTGCCAGTGATGCTCATCTAGCTATTTTGCTAAATAGCTCATAACTCGGCCAAAAACGCATGAAATTCAATTCGGAAAGCTGTTCTGAGTTGCCCTTTCTAAGCTTAACAAAACTGCATACTCAGTTTTGCTAAAATACTTACCTATAATTTATAAAAAATATCAACAAAAAATTAGAAAAACCCTCATAACTCGGCCAAAAACGCATGAAATTCAATTCGGAAAACTGTTTTGAGTTGCTTTTTCTATGCTTAACAAAACTGCATACTCAGTTTTGCTAAAATACTTACCTATAAAAATGTGAACTTTACAACTCGGCCAAAAATGCACGAAATTTAAAACTTAGTATGCAGTTTTGTTAAGCTTAGAAAAGGCAACTCAGAACAGCTTTCCAAATTGAATTTCATGCATTTTTGGCCGAGTTATGAGGGTTTTCATAAATTATAGGCATCTCACTAACTGCCAGTGATGCTCATCTAGCTATTTTGCTAAATAGCTCATAACTCGGCCAAAAACGCATGAAATTCAATTCGGAAAGCTGTTCTGAGTTGCCCTTTCTAAGCTTAACAAAACTGCATACTCAGTTTTGCTAAAATACTTACCTATAATTTATAAAAAATATCAACAAAAAATTAGAAAAACCCTCATAACTCGGCCAAAAACGCATGAAATTCAATTCGGAAAGCTGTTCTGAGTTGCCCTTTCTAAGCTTAACAAAACTGCATACTCAGTTTTGCTAAAATACTTACCTATAATTTATAAAAAATATCAACAAAAAATTAGAAAAACCCTCATAACTCGGCCAAAAACGCATGAAATTCAATTCGGAAAGCTGTTCTGAGTTGCCCTTTCTAAGCTTAACAAAACTGCATACTAAGTTTTGCTAAAATACTTACCTATAAAAATGTGAACTTTACAACTCGGCCAAAAATGCACGAAATTTAAAACTTAGTATGCAGTTTTGTTAAGCTTAGAAAAGGCAACTCAGAACAGCTTTCCAAATTGAATTTCATGCATTTTTGGCCGAGTTATGAGGGTTTTTCATAAATTATAGGCATCTCACTAACTGCCAGTGATGCTCATCTAGCTATTTTGCTAAATAGCTCATAACTCGGCCAAAAACGCATGAAATTCAATTCGGAAAGCTGTTCTGAGTTGCCCTTTCTAAGCTTAACAAAACTGCATACTCAGTTTTGCTAAAATACTTACCTATAATTTATAAAAAATATCAACAAAA